TGGCATTTTTGCCATACTAAATCCAAGGACTTGATAAAGAAGCAAGGGTGTGCCTTGTTTCACTTTCCTCTTTTGACTGAGGTAACGAAGGATTCTTGTTTTACTCCTTTCTGTAGCAGGAAGAATTCTAGAATTAGGCATGAGCCAACTATTTTAGTAAAATAGAAAGGAAAAAAAAAATTTCTTGCATGATGAAAATGCAATCTCAAAAACATATTAAGTCAGTTGATAAAACAAATTAAACTTTATCAAGTGCCTTTTACATCCAAAAAGCTATTGACATGGTTTTCCTCTTTTGATATATTAATACTAAATAAACCGCTGTGTCATAATGAATTATTCTCATACATAGCCCATAAAGTACTACATTAATATATAAAACAGTAATTAAAAATACAGATTGGGAAGTCAGACTATTGGAGTCTAAATCTGGGCTCTGCTGTTTATAAGCTGTGTATCCCAATTGCCTCATGTATAGAATGGACACAGTAATGGTTTATCTGCTCATAGAGCTACTGTGGGGATCAAACAGGATAATGTGCATTGTAAGGATAAGTACCAACAGTAATTATCTCTCATTAATGTAGTTATATTTGGTATTCATTTTACTTATGAATTTATCATGTCTATGTAAAATCAGTTCCTTGTTTTGGCAATCTAGGATGATTTGACATGCAGGTTATATTAGCTTTAAAAAACATTTGGAAAGCTTTCCTTCTGTCTCTTTACTCTGGAATAATTTATATTTTATAAAAATAATATTTTTAAAGTGCAGCTTTTCCTAATTAGCAAAATAATTTATTAAATCTGGGGGTAAGAAGGAAAACATGCAGATGATGTAGTGGAAGGAGTTAGAGTACTAGATAGAAGGGCAGCTGTCCAGCTAACCCCACCTCTGCCATGGTCGTGTGGGTTACAAGTACTCAATATGAATATGAGAATGCTGAGCTAACATGTCCACGTCTCACCCACCTCTCAGATGCTTTTATCTCAGCGACTGTTTGGCATGTACAACTAATTAGTGCCCACTTGCTTTAACTACGGCTATCCCAAGGGAGAACAAATCTCACAGTGTACTTCCTTTTTTATTACCATTATCTTCCCAACATGTTAAGTTAAATGAACATCAAGTGTAATAGAATGACTGAAAGGAAAGATTACAGAGATAATAGTGGATACTTCTACCATTAAGACCAGGATTTAAGAGTTGAATAGGGATATGAAAACCTCCAGTTTTAAAAAGTTACTGGTCAACTGTTCAGATTTGCCAAAATTTTAATTTTCATTCCTGGGTTCACTCATTATCACATTAAACTCCTAGGTACTTGTTCAGAGGATTTCAAAAAGCAAAAAGTAATATTCTAAATATAAGATAAACAAAAGTAGCTAGTCCTATCTCCAAATGAAACCCCCCAAAAAACCAACATAATTTATCCAGATTTGGAAAAACAAACTCTTGGGAAATTCCCACTTCTGAGACAAATGTAGGTCCTTCATTTAAATTATACTAGAGGCCCGGTGCACGGATTTGTGCATCGGTGGGGTCCCTTGGCCTGGCCTGTGCCCTCTTGCAATCTGGGACCCTCGGGGTATGTCAGACTGCTGGTTTTGGCCCAGTCCCCACCCGATCCCCACAGGCCAGGCCGAGGGACCCCACCGGTGCACTGGGCCTTTAGTCCTACTAGCATATAATAAAAACCTAATATGCAAATTGTCCCCTCAACCGGGAGTTCGACTGCTCGCTATGACATGCGCTGACCATCAGGGAGTGGCGCAGAACATGGCGGGCGTTGGTGACGTAGTGCTGGCAGTGGGCAGCAGTGGAGGCACTGCCAGCCCTGACGGGAGCAGGATTACAGTGGGATGGTGGAGCAGGTGAGCAGGCAGTGCCAGGCCAAGGCAAGTGCGAGCGGGGCCCAATTGCCCCACAGGTGGCGACCAGTGGCGGCAGCAGGGCGGCGGGACCACCAGCTCCCAGGTGCTGAGGGAGCCAGGCGGGGGCCTGATGACTCAGGCAGAGGAGGGTGAACGGGGGCCCAGGTGCTACCCAGGGCCCAGAGGTCAGCTGAGACCTACTCTTCCATTGCCAGCCAGGCCTAGGGACTCCACCCATGCACGAATTTTGTGCACTGGGCCTCTAGTATGCATATAAGATCTTTGGTTAATCTCTTCCTGCCCTCTCCCCTCCCCTCTTCCTTCTGAGATTCATTGGTCCATTCCACATGTCCATGCCTGTGCACTGAGCATCTACCCCCTGGTGGTCAGTGCACATCATAGCTACCAAACAGTCCCTTAGACTTTTATATAGAGAGAATTCAGTTAAAAAGTACTGACATAGCCCTAGCTGGTTTGGCTCAGTGGATAGAGTGTCAGCCTGCTAACTGAAAAGTCCCAGGTTCGATTCCGGTCAAGGGCACATGCCCGGGTTGTGGGCTCGATTCCCAGTGGGGGACTTGCAGGAGGCAGCCAATCCATGATTCTCTCTCATCATGAATGTTTTTACCTCTCTCTCCCTCTTCCTTCCTCTCTGAAAATAAAAACATATTTTAAAAAAAGTACTGACATACAAGTAACCAATAAAGATTAAAGTTACAATGACTATTAATCATTACATTTTATGGAGCACTTACTATGTGACAGGGATAAAGCACTTCATGTTTATTTCATCACCTAACAGTCCCATCACCCTATGAATTAGGTATTTCTGTACCTTACTTTTAACATATGAGGAAATTGAAGTTCAAAGCGGTCAAGTCACTTGGCCAAAATATTAAGGCTAATATTGTCATTTAAATTTCAAAGCCCATACTTTTAATATTTATAGTCAAATGAGTGACTGAAATTAAATTTAGTCATGCAATTAAATGCAAAACTATATTCTTTGTAACTTGATAATACTTACCATGTGTAGCACTGACAACGGAAAATTACGTTTTGAATATATGATTTTAAAGAATAATCACTCTGAAAAGCATATTAAACTGAAAAACAGGGCCTAAAAACAAAGTTACTTCTAAGATTAAAACTGTCATCAAATTAAGTTGATATTACATTCCTGAATTATTCGTAGGAATCATAATTTTTAGATTAGACATATTGACTTTAACCCAGATTTATTGAATTAAAAAAAACATTTTTATTAAACAAGTCTATTGAACATATCTAGGTAAAATATCTTGTTGAATTTATAAATACAAATATCAGTGACCTAGTAATAAAAACAGAAAAATAATTTAAATCTATTTTCATGGTCCACATACACTGATACCAAAACAAACGTAAGATGCATCATGTATGAACATTTGGGCTTTGCAGAAAATATCAGGAAATTGACACACAGACATAAATGATCTTATGTCACCCTATATAACAAGATTATTTATATAGTAGACTTTGTTATATTTACAAAAATTATAAATTAGGTATAACCCTATTCTAAATATACATTCAATAATTTTATCTTACTTGAGCTACGAAAAGTTGAAATATGTAAGATAGTCTGAATTATTTAAAGCTGACTTTTCATAGGACACAATAAATTTGAAAGGGACAATGCAATTGAAGCAATTTTTAAAAAGATTGTGTTAGTAAAATGAAATCTGGAAGATTTACTCAAGACTGAAAAAGGCCCCTTAATAGGAATCTTAGTTAAAAAAAAAATACACACACACACACACACACACACACACACACATATATACATACATATACATATGTGTGTATATATATTTAGAGTTATTCCCAGTTCTCTCATTTTAAAAGATTATCATCATTTAGGTGAGACAGATATGCAATGTTTCCCTACAAAGGAGCCTTTTGTTTCATATCTAAAAGTAAAGATATTTTAATCGACTTTTATTATTTAGGTCACACTTCAAACTAATCTAATAGATCTTAGTTTCATCAGGTAAAACTGCTAACATGAAAGCTCTTAAAATTCAAGGTATTTCTCCGAAACCCATACAATAATTAAGTTTTAGGGTTACTTTCTTTTTATTTTTGAATACACTTTCAATTATAAAAGTCAGATCAGTCCTTTGAATATTCAGATGACAGAGAAGCAGCTACAATTCCTTTATATTTCTCTTCCATCTAGCTGTGAGAAGGGGAAAAAATAAATTTAAAATAAAGGCCCTGAATTGGCCCAAGTATACTTACTTTTAGAAATGTACATGTAAAGTAAAATTGTCTCCAAAGTGCCCTTGTTTCTCCCAACATCTCCCAGTTCACCTTAGAAAAAACAGTCTTCTACAACAGGAGGGAATATGAGAGCAGGACATACTGAGTGGACATTGCTGAGTGGTTGATCACATATAATCTTGCAGACTTTGTGTTCAGTTAAATGCTCCCAAATGATGAGCATAAGATGAATTAATAGGGAGAGAAATCTTTAAAGGCAAATCAGGATACTGATAAGCAAAAACTGAAAATTTTATAACATGTTCCCCTGAAATGACGCAATTGTTTCTCTTCAGAAGAGAAAATTTGTAAGGTAACAGTCTTAATTTTGGCTTTTCTAGGAAGAAAATAATGGTCTGTGCCAAAAGATTTCTTACTTTAAAATGAAAGTGCAAGGAAAAAAAAACTCCTTGGGGGTAGGGGGTAATTACATATTTAAGTTGATAAAATTTATTCTCCAGTGTAGGGTAAAAGCTCTCCAATTCTAATTGTAAAAATCCAACGTTTAATTTTATCTGAAAGGAAACTAGGCATGGATGAGCTTAAACTATCATCTGAGTCAGTGAATTGATCATGTTATTCTCTTTTCAAAGTGTACTAATTTTACTGGAAGATATCTACTTTTAGCTTGGAAGATATAGGTTCAAGGTCTGTTCTTGGTTATTCCAGAAACTCTGCATTTTTATAATTTCAACAAAACCCTAGAAAGTTGTTCTAAAATGAACTTTTTCAACCTACTCAACAGAATTCATGAACACTCTGATATCCATTTCAGCAGCATCTGTCTCTGTGAAGCACATCAAAATCACCCAGACATCAAATTGCTGATTTGATAGAATGATTTATTTTTCCATTACAGGAAAGTCATGAGTGACTTGTTCTGAGGTATGTTTTTGCGCTATGAAGGTCATCTATTAGAAAGCTCCACACTTGAAGGTTCTTCTGTAGGTTGTAACATTTATGGCTGGACAGTCTCTGCAGGCACCAGATTCCCTGTCGTATCCAACTGCATACATTTACACGTGCATGCAGACACAGGACACTCTGCATGGTCCCTAAAAGAATAGATCAAATAACAGTTAAAAATGTAAATTATTAATATTCACAAATATACACATACATAGGTACATATGTACATTTCTTTATCTATATACCTACCTATGTCCATAATGCAATTTTTCAAAATGGCATTTGGGAAAATATAGCAATTCAAATCCAAAGACAAAAACACATTAAAAGCATTAAATTAGAAATTTGTGCCATGCTGATCATGGGGAGAAAGTTACTAAAAACTTGAATGGCTTTGTTTTCTAAATATACAACAAAAGATCCATTTGCAGTTATGAAGGTGAAGGGATGTGCTCGTTTAAATTAAAGCCAGTGTGACAAAGTGAGTGTAAAAGCTATAGCAATATAGAAGAGTGGAAGGCCACTGGCACTGCTCAGTGTAAAAATTAAATATGGTCTTGAAAATCTCCATTGCATGAGGTACTTACTACATAACAAGCTTATTTAGAAGATAAGTGATATCTTTCATTTAATTTATAATTCAATTACATATTATATATAGTAGGATCTTCAGTTAACTGTGAAAAACTGTAAACATATCCTCTCCCCAAATAAAGTAAAATAATGCTATTCAAACACTTAACCCATATTTAACATCATATTTAAACTATTTTTATATGTTTAATTTTATAGTATAAGGTTACAAAGGATATCTAATAATAGAAATGTTGATGCCCCTTTTGTTAACTCAGGTGACAGGAAAGAACAAATTCATCCTTTAGCTGTATAAACCTGAGTATTTAAAAGGCCATCGGCTTTATCTCCTCTAACTCCAAGCCTATTAAAGAAGTAATGTGATTATTACCTGAACCAACTAAGCATATGTCCAGCATGCCCACCATGCCTGCAATTGTGACACCATGTAAACCAGTTGTTAAATTGAGCTAATTTCTTGTCCTTGCTCAAGTCTACTTTTTCATCTGATTTGGATCCTCCTATGGGTTAAAGAAAATGATCTTCAATAACTATATCACAATATTAATTCAAATTTTCTTAAAAGGTATTTCAGAAGCTATGTCAAAATACAAATCATGTATCATATTGAAGTAATAATTTTAATGCTAGGATCTAGTTATATTGAAAAGATACTAAGTAACAGAAGTTTCCTTACATCTTTCATAGCTAATAAAACATTTGAAAAACATAAGGTATCAAACCCACTAAGAAGCAATCTGAATTAACAATTCTAGAGAAATAACTGGTAGCTTAAAATCTTCCCACAAAGAAAAACACCAAGCCCAATTTACCTGGTGTACCGGTTAATAATGCGGATTTTGCAATCAAAGAAAACACAATAATTTCAAGAGGAACATAAAAAGTGCTTATTCCAAGTAATGTCCATTGCTAGCTACACATTTCCCTGATCTTTCAGATAATTTGTGGATACCGTGCCAAGAGAACTTTTCTTGTTTTGAGACAAACCATTCAGAGACCCAATTTTCCAATTCTTCATACGTTTTGAATTGCTACTCAGAAAGTGTGTGTGCCATCGATCGGAACAAGTGATAATCTGAAGGAGCAAGGTCTGGTGAGTACAGTGGGTGGGTTAATACTTCCCAGGCAAGATCTTTTAACGTGTCTTTAACTGGTTTTGAAGTGTGTAATGGTGCGTCATCATAAAGCAAAATTACTTTGCCGTGTCTTCTGGCACATTCTGGTCATTTCACGATCAAAGCATGGTTCAAATTGATTATTTGTTGTAGGTAGTGATCAGTATTAACGGTTTCACCTGGTTTTAGAGGCTCACAATACACCATACCTTCCTGATTCCACCAAACGCAGAGCATTGTCTTCTTTCTGAAGCGAGTTAGCCTTGCAGTCAATGTTGATGGTTGACCTGGATTAACCCGTAATTTTGTGCATTTAGGATTCTCAAAATAAATCCACTTTTCATCGCCAGTCACAATTCTATGCAAAAAAGACTTTCTTTCGTGCTGTTGAAGCAACATTTTATTGATGACTTTTCGGTTTTCCATTGTCTTTTTTTCAGTTGATGTGGCACCCATTTTCCTTCCGTTAAAATCTTTCTCATTGCTTGTAAACGATCGGAAATTGTTTGCTGAGCAATGTTTAATCTTTATGCAAGTTGTTTTTGAGTTTGACATGCATCTTCATCCAAAAGTTTGGTCTTCAAACTTTTTCGGTTGATCTGGACGTTATCTTTCACATTGAAATCATCACTTTTAAAGCATTTAAATCAGTGTTCACAAGTATCTTGAGATGGAGCATGTTCACCATAAGCTTCCCGAAGTATGCAATAAATTTCAGCAGCACTTTTCTTCAAAATAAAGTAATGAATTAAAATTTCCCGCAAATGCTCTTTTTTTGGGCATGAAATTCGACATTTTTAAGTGTAAAAATATCTAAAATGTTAACACCTTCAGCAAATTTGACATAGGAAGTTTTGAAGCTTGCTGTCAATACAACAAAACAGCATACATATCAAATCGCATATATATCAACATATGTGTAACTCCATCAAGTGAAAAAAATCCGCATTATTAACCGGTATACCTGTAAAAGAGTTTTTTACTAAACATTGAAGGAACACGTAATTTTTACCTATACAAACTCTGTCAAAGAATAGGAAAAGAGAGGAAATCTCCCAAAGCACTCTATGAAGTTGGCAAACTAGTAACTTTGCTAACAGAATCAGGCAAAAATAAGAAAGGAAGATTAAAGACCAATCTCTCTCCTGAACAGAACATAAAAATCCTAAGTAAAACATTAGCAAACAGTATTATTTATCACTTCTACTTATAGGTAAGTACACCAGAGGAACTTTGTACATGCTAAACAAAGACATATGCAGGAATGTTCATAGCAGCATTGTTCATAATAGTAAAAATCTGGAAACAAACAACGTTTCTATAGGAAGCTGAGTGGAAAAATGGTGCTATAGTCATTAATGGAATATGAAACAGGAATGAAAAAAAAAAACCAACTATAGCTACATTCATCAGCATAATAGACACTAAAAAGCAAATAAGCAAACAAACCCCAATGTTGAGCAAAAAAGCCAAGTCAAAGGATATAATCCATAATTCATTTGTACGGAATTTAAAACACAGACAAAACTAAACATGTGATAAAACCACACAGACATGCTAGAGATTGAATTAACACAATTTAGGATAGTGGTTACCTCTAGGGAGGAGGAAAGAGGTGAGACTGGGCAGGGAGAAATAATCAAAGGCACTAGTGTAGAAATGTCATCTTAAGTAGGGTAGAAGGCGCATTGATGTTTGATTTATCACAGTACATGATATATACATTTCTATCTGTGTTGCAGTGCACAGTACATTTTATTTTCTATTTATATAGTATTGGGGCCATAAAAAAGTGAAGAACATGCAATTATAAAATGAAAATCCTTGATTAAAATTTAAATTGAAACAAGTGCATTTGAAAACATTACATAGTGCCTTTATTTGTTTAAAAAAGGCATAAATTGAAAAATAATTACTCAGCCAATGATACCAGCAAATCTCTTTCACAGATGTTAATGTAACAATAAAGCAGACTACTTAAAATGAATCAACCGCGCCCGGCTAGCTCAGTCGGTAGAGCATGAGACCCTTAAAATGAATCAGCTGCAGACTAGTATTACAAAATTTCATAACTATAAAGGATCTCCCCATCCAACACTTTATATAAAAAAGAGCTAACATAACTCTCAATTTTACACACTGAATGTCAGAGCTGTAACTAAAACAGGCATTCTGCCATATCCAGTTCTTTTTTTTTTTTTTTAATATATTTTATTGATGTTTTACAGAGAGGAAGGGAGAGGGATAGAGAGTTAGAAACATCAATGAGAGAGAAACATCGATCAGCTGCCTCCTGCACACTCCCTACTGAGGATGTGCCTGCAACCAAGGTACATGCCCTTGACCGGAATCGAACCTGGGACCCTTGAGTCCGTAGGCTGACACTCTATCCACTGAGCCAAACCGGTTAGGGTGCATATCCAGTTCTTTACTCATTATTCATTATATCAGTGTGCCAAATATTAAAATGTTTTTAATTGAAATTTTTGCCATAGTATCATAACCAAGTTATATGAATAGCTGGAATATCTCTAGCCACTGGGTACATTATATTCAATTATCTACTCTTCTCAAATTTTTTTCTGTATGTTACCATAGCAGTAAAAAACAATCCTAATATTTCTAACCATACATATAATACTTGCTAGGTAACTGATAAATATTGCAGAAACAGCACTAAATCCTACAAGTAAAGAGATTTTACTTTTAGATTAATACTTTCTCTATGTATTTCACAGGCAGATTCTGAAGATGAAATAAGAGGAAATGTGCAAGTGCTTTGAGACTATCAAAAACTCTTTATGCATAAAAGGTAGCTATTAGTAGATGAGGGCACACTGACTTTTAAATATACTAGTTGAGGAGACCCCTCTTAGAAAGAGTGACAAGAAAATGAAATAACATTACTTAATATTTAAGCTCTTTTCACTTCAAATTGGCTAGATTTGTGAGATTACCTGAGATATCCTGGGCATAGATTTTACTTTTAATGTATAGATTTCATAAACCATAGAGAACAAAAGCCAGCAAGTGGCTTGCTCTTAGAAAATCAAGCTAGTATGTCTTTTATTTACATTAGATCAATTATGGAAGAACAATTTCAGCTCAGAAGAGAATATTGGAGAATTGTCATACCAGGACAGCTGGAAACAGGTGTTCCCATATTAATGAGACAAAGCGCACATCGAGGGAGGGGTTTTCGACAGCCAGGGCAACTTGTGACTTTAGATTTCGTTGGCGAGCCACTGACCCCATACTGACTAAAACCTCTGCCCTGATGAGGCACAGTTGAACAACTGTAGGAGATAGACTTGCCACAGAAATTGCAACTCACAAACACCTGGAAAACAAACAAAAGAAGTTAAAGTATAATGCAAACTTTATAAATAAAAAATTCAAAGTTTGATCCTAACAAATTAAAATAATTTTTAAACATTATTTTGAATTATAAAATACTTTATCTGCTAAGTTTGACTAACTCTTATTTAAGATTCCCACTTAGCAACTACATTGAGAACTTTCTATTACCCCTGTTTAGTTATATTCTCCTAATGCCACTGTTACACTGTATACAGAAAAACTTGGCAACATTAGATCCCAATATTTTAGAAATAATAATGACTTTAGAGTTCACATTAAATTCCAATATTTTAGAAATAATAGGGACTAAGAGACATTAAAAATGACTTCTGATCCAAAGTTCCATGATATAATCTCTTGTACAAAATTTTCTTATGAAGAAAACACTCATTTCCTAAGGTAGGAAGGAATTAAGTATACTGTAATGGTAAGTAGTTAAAACTTGAGAATAATAGCAGTAGTAACTGTCCATTCTGCTTTAAATTGAACTCCTAGGTTCTTAACACTTATCATACAGATCAGTAACAAGTATTATTACGTAATGCCATTTTACTAATACTCAGGTTGTTTTAATAGCAGCACTAATTTCTTAGCTTTCTAAAATAAGAGAACAGCACCATCCAGTGCTAACATTGAGGATATACCTGATATTTAATGTCTGAACTTAGTGTATCTTATGTCATGTGCTTTATGAGATAATTCATGTTTTTTAAACTAATGCTAAAAGAAAAAATTTAAAATTTCCATGTGCAATCAATCAGACCTACAGCTATATATATATATATATATATATATATATATATATATATATATATACTGTTAAAAAAAACCTGCCTTATTACATATAAATAGTGCCAAAAAATAATACATAAATGGAATTTATAAGACCATAGAGTAGTTTAGATTCTGAAAGAGTTTACTAGAATATACTGGAAAACCTCAGACAGCTCTAGGATTAATTTAGTTTTGCTTAAGATCCTCTAGGCCTGCTGTGGTTTGCTCTATCTCACACTAAAACTCAAGCCACTGAGGTGATTTTTAGAAAGTGGAAGGACCAAGACAAGGGAGATCAAGGACAAACTGTAGTTCAGCGTGAACTCAATATAGGCAAAAGAATGAGCTAATAATAATTTATTAAATCGAATTCTAAATGTAGCCTGTATAATATGCTATAAACACTTCTAGTTTTGGCTAGACTATGAGGTAGATGTTATTTGATTCTCTCCAAAGCAATGTACTTACCTGTGCTAAAGGCTTGGAACTGGGATCCAACTTACTTCGGTGAATATCAAATTCAGCTCGTTTGTGCCAAAACCTCCAGGCATCTAATAAATTTCTGTAATTCTCAATCCAGTACTGAACTCTTTCATCTTTAAGAACATCTAAAGGAGAACCCTAAAAAGAAAGAATGAATTATTTTAGTTGTTTAAAAATTTCCTGGCTAAACCAGAAGATTCTTGGTAACATGTGAGTACAAGTCACACAGAAGAAATAGGCCTCCTTCTGCCAAAAGCTGACTCTTAATGAGGACAGAGATAAAATAATTATTGGAACCTCCATTAATTTACTTTAAGTTGGTCTCGACTAATGACAGAAATATATAATGTAGATATCATTAGACTGGCCAGGAAAGGGTAAAAAGTTTAAAAGCCCAAAAGCAAACAATTCACCTTCCTGGTTAAATGTAGTAAAAAGTGATGTGAATACTCTCTGTCCCAACAATCAAAACTTCTTGGTTCACAAAATTTGTTTACTGTCTGATCCAAATACACACCAAAGCTACTTAATCAGATATAAAATAATACTGAGCCTAGTGCTTCATATCTAGCAATATACTGTGAACTGAGATTCTATTTTGTATGCCTATTTATCTGAAAGTTTAACCTGCCTATTCTCTCTCTTACCCTCAATTAAAACATACATTACCTTAAAAATTAAAAAGAAAAAAAAAGGCCAAAATTGTTCTTAGTTCTTATGCCCCTAAGACATAAAACAAAGCAACAATTTCTTTCCCTTAAATTTACTTTAGATTTTTTCTCATTAGTAATTTCAATTTCTTGCCAGTAAGTCTCTTCCTAAAGCTTTGTTTTCCCTGGCAGCTGTCACATTCCACATTTCACCTATCATTGCTTTGTTTTCATGAATGCTTACAGGCCTGTCCAACATGCATCTCCTTAACTTACAAAGAAAAGAGACTATGCCTCTGCCCCCAGTGATGCTCAGGCATCAATGTTAAGCCCAGTTTTCCCGATTCTATTTGGGAGCCAGACAGACAACTAAACTGTTAGATCTTAGCATGCATCTCACTTATGGAAAATGGAAAGATACCTGTAACACCTAATAAAGACAATCTATCTTTACACATTCCATTGAAATAGAGCATATCTTTCTCCTATTAATTAGGTAGTAATTTCCATTACCAGAGTTCATTTAGCCAAAGGAAAACTGTTAGTTGACAATTTCATTTCTTAAAAAAGTAAACATCTACTCTAGTCTTAATTATGACCAACTAGCTAGAACTAAGTACTAAAGTAGAATAAAAGTCCTGTTTTGTGTGTTGTTGTTTTTTAAAGAAATCTTCATACCCGCCTCTTGTCTCTTTCATGGCAGTAAGGATAAACCAAGAAAATTTGGTCAATTCATACTCAGTAAGTGTTCTCTAGATTGCCCCTATAAAACCTAAAATCAAACTCTGGCAAAATCTGCAAGGGAACAAACAGTTCAGTGATTAAGTCTGAGCAAATCAGAAGAGAGGGCAGAATACACTGGGCTTTCCACAGATCCATAGTAGCAAAATATAAGACCAAAGTGAGCAGCAAGTAACTTGAACTTCCAAAAGTATTAACAAAAATTCTTCAGGAAAAGGTAAAAGAACCCAGAACTTTATAATATACTGTACATATCATGCAATATTAAATTAAAAATCACCTGACATATAAAGACACAAGTAAATGTGATTCAACGTCAAAGAAAAAGGCGGTCAATAGAAACTAAACCTAAAAAATTCCATATTTTAGTGTTAGCTGACATACAGCTATTAGACACATCCAAAGACTTTAAGAAAAATGTTTTAATTAGTGAATAGATAAGGATCTCGGCTGAAAAATGTAAACTATACAACAAGATTCTAGAATGAAAAAGTACAATAACTGAAATTAAGTATTCCCTGGAAAACTTAACATCAGAAAGTGACAGACAATGAGTACATGAATATAATTTATCCAATTTGAATAGCAGAGAAAATAATCTGGAAGAAAAGGAATCTCAGATACATATAGGATAATATTAAATGACTTAATATATGTATAATAGAGTCCAAGAGAAAAGAATGAGATTGAGGCTGCAAAATATGCCTGAAAACTTCCCAAATTTGATGAAAAACTCTGAATTGCAGATTCAAGAAGCTCAGCAAGCCACAAGCATGAAAAAAAGAACCACATTAGGCATTAAGGTTAAACTGCTAAAAATAAAAAATAAAACCTTGAAAACAACTCAAGGAAAAGATAAAAAATTACATAGGGGACAATAGATAATAGCTGACTCGTCATCAGAAATAATGGGAGGCCAGAAGACTATGAAGCCATGTCTTTAAAGTGTTGAAAGGAAAACAAGAACAAAAAGGTCATTTAAACTGAGAGAATCTGTCTCCAGTATTTCTATACTGTAAGAAATGCTAAAGAGAAGACCAAAGCAAAAGAACACCAGATAAAATTTGGATCTATTGGTCTAAACCACAGGTGGGGAACCTTTTTTATGTCAAGGGCCATTTGGATATTTATAACATCATTCGAGGGCCATACAAAATTATCAACTTAAAAATTAGCCTGCTATATGTGGTCAAACATTTAATTTGTCACTCCTAATGCCTTGGCAGGACCAGACCAACTGATCTCACAAGCCTTATACACCCACGGGCCAGATGTTCCCTAGCCCTGATCTAAACAGTACCAGGAATGGTAAATAAGTAATAAATAAATATAAAAGCCCATGTTTTTGTTCTTCACATAATTTACACAAATGACAACTAACTGTTCAAAGCAAAAATTATAACACTCAAAGCTGGAGCTTATAACATATGTAGAAGTAAAATATATAACAAAGGACAAAGAAGGGGTATATAAGCAGAATTACACTGCTGTAACAACTGTGATATGTGAAATATGAAGCAAAGCATAAAGTGTTAGATGTGAGGTATGAAAAAGAAAGGGTGAAGTAGGAAGTCTGAATATTATGACATGTGAAGTATGAGGAGGTAAAATGTTCACTAATGAGTTAAGGATGTACATTGTTAGACCTAGAGCAACTAGGTCTAAAAGAGAGAGAGAGAGAGAGAGAGAGAATATGAATGAAAAGGGACTTTGCTAAAAAGCCACTAGATGAAATAAAATGAAACACTGAAATATTCAATTAGCCTAAGAGAAGGCAGGAAAGGAATAGAAAACAAAAGGAAGAAGAAAACCAAACAAATGGAAAATAAACAGCAGGATGGTAGACTTGCTACCATCTTTCCCTTAAGACAGATGCTGCCACACTGCACTAACCTGTAACATGCAGTAACTTGCTGTTTGGACATCTCCAGTCCTATCGACATAACTCTCCATTAAGTCCACTCCATCTTTAGTAAGGCCTGTAAGCAGAATTCCTTCCAAATTTCCAGCCTCTTTCATTTCATTGGTCAACTTTTCGATGTATCTATTTAACTGGAAAATTCAAAGTGAATTTTCTGAAGCAATCCATTTTACTATATCTCTTGTCCTTCAAAACTTCTACATTGTGGAACAATTTTATTCTTAATAGAAAATATTGTAAAACAAAACCCCTACAAAGATCTAGATGAATGATCTCTAAGTCTTTGCATCTAATATAAATTACAATTCAGCATTCATGATCATTTAATTTTTTTTTTAAAAAAAAGGCAAGGCATTTCTGTGTTTGATAATCCTATATAATAAAAGGCTAATATGCAAATCAACTGAACGGGGGAACTACCGGTTGCTATGACGCACACTGAACATTAGGGGGCAGATGCTCAATGCAGGACCTGCCCCCTGGTGGTCAGTGCACTCCCACAGGGGGAGTGCCACTCAGCCAGAAGCCCTGAGCCCAGCTCACGGCTGGCAAGTGCAGCAGTGGTGGCAGGAGCCTCTCCCGCCTCCGTGGCAGCGCTAAGGCTGTCCAACTGCCGGCTTAGTGGGGAGGGGGCCTAAACGGTCGGTTGGACATCCCCCAAAGACTCCTGGACTGTGAGAGGGCGCAGGCTGGGCTGAGGGATCCCCCTCACCCGGAGTGCACAAATTTCATGCACCGCGCCTCTAGTTATTCTATAAAGAGTATAGGTTTACTGTTATAAATTTAAAGAGAACTGTCATTATTCTGCAAAGTTCTTGCTGCCTATTATAGTAAGATGCAATAGAATCATAGAATCTTGGTGGAAAGGGAACTTCAAGATTATAAAAAATAACCATCTCTTGTAAGGTCTTCCCAGACTTCATTCCTCCCCAAACTCTAGTCAAGATTTCTCTATATTCCCCCAGCACTTTTTTCATTATTAAAGCACTTAGCACATTGTAATACTAGCCATACATGTATTTCTCACTATATATAGCATATGTATTCAGTACCTATTTACTGCATTAGGAAACAGAGGGATCCCTTTATAGCATCCCTAGGAGGTGAGTTTAACATCTTTATCTACTGACCAATCTCATCCAAAAACAGGAATAAACTAAAATATTAAGTCAGCATTATTTTAAAAAGTAAATTTAGTTATAATATACATTTATAATATTTTAATCTAATAAAGAGATTATTTACTTTGCAGAAGAATTTACACACACACACACACATATATCTAACTCACATATATATTTATAAAGGTCAATTTCTCAATCCAGTAACAATAAATATTAATCACTTCAAACATGGAATTAAATCTAGTTCTTACCTGACTATCACTAAGGAATTTACAAGCAAATGCCACTCTGTCACGGACAGCAACTTTGTTTTCATACTGAAAAGAAGAGAAAAAGCAAGGAGTTACTTGTAGGTGCTATGAGTTTTAAATATTTGAAGACTAAGTATTTTATATACATAAAATATAATTATATTTTCAAAGATATTAATAAGTTATTGTGTATATATTGGCTGAACCACTGATCCCCTAAAATGCCTTTTTAAAAATAAAAATAATTTTTTCAATTACGGTTGACACTCAATATTGTATTAGTGTTAGGTGTATGGCATAGTGGTTAAACATTTATATACTTTATGAAGTGATCCCCCATAAGTCTAATTACCCACCTGACACCGTACATGGTTATTCCAATATTACTGAGTGTATTCCCTATGCTGTACTTTACATCCCCTTGACGATTTTGTAATTATCAATTGTTACTTCATTAATCTCTTCAGTTTTTTCATCCAGTTCCCCAAGCACCTCCCATATGGCGACCATCAGTTTGTTCTCTATATGTAAGAGTGTTTATTTTGTTTTTTAGATTCCATATGAAAGCAAAATCATATGGCAGTTATCTGACTTATTTCATCTAAGATGACTTACTTAATATAACTCTCAAGAAATGCTCTGCTAAAGTTACCGTCCTTATGAAGTAAAAATTTCTTAAATATTGATCAATTCAGTTAAAAAAATTCTAGTTCAGTCTTACAAATCTCCAGCAGAATATAAACAATGATGTACAGTTTGTCAACTTTAAGATGCCATGTATTCCTTCCATCACAGAAACTAGTTTGGGGGAAACCAACAAGTCTAGGAAATCTGTGAATTACCAGTGAATATACTAGTATGAATATACTAGGACAGATTTAGAAAAAACAACAACAACACATATTTCTAAATACAAAATGTTAAGTTTTAAAACATACCTTTATAAATAAATACACACAACTTTGTGCCTATAGTAAAATACTATTAGGTGGTTTGTGTCAAAATTTTCAGAGGCATAGGATAAATACTTAAATTTGTGTGAACTTGTCAACACTGTAAAACAATATTTTGAAAAATGCTTACTATGACTGAAGGTACAATTAATTTTGTGTTAAGTAAAAAATTGTTTAAAGATGGAAAAAACCCTATTTCCATTAAAGTCAGTCATTCTATGAATTACAGTTTTCCTCCTTTAAACAAAACACCACTTCAGTCGATACATATCTTAGTACGTTTTCGCAAATATATTTTCTAGGGTTCTGCCCGAAAGAGGGGAACATGTTTGATACAAGCTGGATGTAACTTTTAGTTTCAGTTTCATGTGTTAAAATTTTTTTATCTGAAAAGAGTTATAAATATTATCTGTCCCACTTTACAGCTGAGACAAAACTAAAATCCCTAAAGTTAAGGTAAGTGCAGCAGAGCAAAAATTCAGACCTTCATCTTTTGATTTCCCAAGTCAGTACCTTTTACTAGATTACTGCAACTTAACAATTTTTAAAAAGAAAAACATTAATTATAATTATTTACACATTAAATATAATTAGGTACACTCTTGAAATAGTTTGGAAAGATGATACTCAAGGTAAGATACCCCTACCTAATAAACCAAATTTAGCTATATGAAAAGAAGGGTCTTCATAATAGGTCACTTAATTTAAAATACAGAATTTAATATTTAAACAATATACTTCTCTATCAATTCAAAATTTGAACAATCCATTTCTTTTTCCAGTCCTTATCATTCTCCAGTACTTCTTGAAAGTATCATTTCATTCCTTCCAGATGCAACATTTAAAGTCTTCTATTTAACAAAAAAGAGTACTAATAGTAAAAACAAAAAGAACCCCAATATGCTCTCGGATATTAACCTGAGTTGTCTGAAAAGTCTAATTGCAAATTATTTAAAATAATGGACAAAATCTATAAACTAAGGAATTGCCAAAATGGATAATAACATTTATTAAAATTTTCATTGAGACCTCAATAAAACACATGATTTTATAAATTTTTAGGGAATAACATTTAAATCAATTATTTAAGCAATGTGTATTTTATAAAAAATGCTATAATGTCAAAAAGAAATAACTTTCATGTCAGAAAGCTCTTCTTGGTGCTAGAAAGAAGCCCAACAGAACAAAGAAATTTGTGGTATTGATGTGAAGTTTAAAACTCAAAAGCTAAAACTGATAAGCAAGTCTCACTTTATTCTTTCTTTCCTAACATTGTGATAAAGAACCTATGTGGTTATTGTGGTCATAGGTGGTTAAAGCAGAGGAGAAAAAAAATAGCAATGAAAAGAACAAATAATGAAAAAATGAAATAGCCACTGTAAGTAGTGTGATCATATAATTTCTCTTTTAAACTAGAGAATGACAAATACTAAGTCAGATAAGATGTGGTCATCCTGATCATGTGTTGATCATGTGTTGGTTCACAAAAATGAGAAACATACACAAACTTTTAATTATATTTCAATATAAAATTTATGTTTATATAGTTGTAGAGTTCTGGAGCTCAGTTCTTAAGCTAAAGGATAAAATTCTATTCCTTCTATGTCTGTAAATTATATTACTAAGATTATTTTAAAAATCAAGTTCAGTTTGCTATCAGCTAACTCTAGGTTGGCAGTCACATTCAAGAATAGCTGCTCCAGCCCTGACCGGTTTGGCTCAGTGGATAGAGCGTCGGCCTGCGGACTGAAGGGTCCCAGGTTCGATTTAGGTCAAGGGCATGTACCTTGGTTCCAGGCACATTCCCCAGTAGGGGGTGTGCAGGAGGCAGCTGATCAATGTTTCTCTCCCATCGATGTTTCTAACTCTCTATCCCTCTACCTTCCTCTGTGTAAAAAAAAAAAATCAATAAAATATTAAAAAAATAAAAAAAAGAATAGCTGCTCCAAAGATGTTTAAGATATTTTATTTTAAATAATAGAAAATGCATCAAACTGTAACAGTATTTTTATGCAACAGACATTTGAAAATTTTAACAAGCTAGATAAAAACTCCTATCTTAAAAAGAGCCTTATGAAACAGAAATTAGCTTACCAATACTCCATCATAAGATCCCGCTTCACTTGTCAGAAATGCAAACATGACACACAGATATGGGTTGTTTAATTGTAATCGTAGAGTGCTGCACATTTCTCTCCAAAGGGAGTTCTTCTCATCAGTATAACCCGATAAAGCCATTGCTACCACATTGAGATTCAGATCACCTGCATATTAAAAACAACCAGCTAATCAAAGTGATCAAAAGCTTAATACTGCCTTCTTTCAGTTCTTAAACCATAAACAAATAAACAAATAGAGATTGAATTTTATATGCAAAAAAATAAGCTCACTAGAATAAGGGTTTTGATTCAGGCTGGAAAATTTGAAAAGGACTACAAGCAAAAATTTCCATTCTTATGAAACTTTTGTCCATATTGCAAATCCTATGAACAACAAGTACCTCTTAATTTTCAAGTCCTCATACCAGGCAGGTTCCTATAACGTATGTTACTACTCAGGAACTAACTGAAAAAAAAGTGAAGCCACCCTATCATTTCAAAGCATTGATAGTAAATATTACTATATCTCGGGACTGTAATTTTCAAAATAGTTTTGTTCTCCTATTCCAGTGACGGCGAACCTTTTGAGCTCGGCGTGTCAGCATTTTGAAAAACCCTAACTTAACTCTGGTGCCGTGTCACATATAGAAATTTTTTTGATCTTTGCGACCATAGTAAAACAAAGATTTATATTTTTGATATTTATTTTATATATTTAAATGCCATTTAACAAAGAAAAATCAACCAAAAAAATGAGTTCGCGTGTCACCTCTGACACGTGTGTCATAGGTTCGCCATCACTGTCCTATTCCTAAATACATAATGCATATATTTATGTTTTAACTACAAGGTAATAAAAGCCAATATTTCAGCATTCTTATTATAGTATTATACTTTTAAATTTTCTAGGGCAAAACTATCAGTATTACCACATTTGAAAAAAAAAAGCATTTGTTACAAACAGTCTTTTACACATTTATTCTTGGAATTTATGTGGCTGCTGATAAGCTGCTAACCTAGAAGTCAACACTATGGCTGTCTAGACTTCTAACAAGTTTAGCATCAAAAGAGAAAACTAAATTGACCTTTAACTTTTACTCAAGTATTTTTACATTTATCATAGCAGTTTTGTTTTCTGATCCTAATTATTTTCTTTCTTTTTCAAATAAAACAGGATTTCCCACCTTATGTCCTTAATAGCCTTGTTCTTAATTTCTATAAACACTTTCCCCAAATACTTTGTGCTTGCTCTCTGCCTACTATTTAAAGACTTTAATAATTAATACCAAAAAAAGGGAATATCTTCTTTGAATCCTGCTTAGAACCAATTATTTCCAAATAGAAAGGAATATTAGACTCAGAGCAATCTTTCCTTTAGTTCTTAACTAAAATATTAAAATCACTAGAATGAAATTTTCCCCTACTGTTAGTAGGGGTGTTCAAATCTACCAATATTCCACATGATAGGAAAGTATCATGCTCTCAGGTCACAGCAAAATTCTAATTAGAAATGGCCTTAAATATCAATTGTTTCCCCCATCACCAAGTCTTCTTTTATTGATTGATTGATTTAAAGAGGAGAGAGATAGAGAGAAAGAAACAAGGATTTATTGTTCCATTTACTCATGCTCTCATTGGTTGCCTTTTGCATGTTCCCTGAACAGGGATTAAACCTGCAACCTTGGTGCATAAGGATGATGCTCTAACCAACCGAGTTACCTGGCCAGGGCATCACATGTCTCTTATTGCAAACTCAAATGGGGAAGACTTATAACAAAAATGAAGAAATAGATGCCAATCTGAACAAAACATTAGCTTTTTCAACTTTCAGTGTGCAAGTAAATATATTACAGTTAATTTCATGTTTTTCTCTCTGGTACAACAAAACTGTAAAGGTTTCTAAGTGGACCAGCAAATAGAAATTAAATTTTCTGACTACTCAGAAATAATTTGCCAAGTATATTAAAAATCAGTAGCTATATACATTCTAGGCATTTTCAAGTGATATGAAAACTGATAAGAAAAAAACTGAATTTTTGGGCCTTAGTTGGGTAGCTCAGTTAGTTAGTGTTGTCCTAATATACTAAGGTTGTGGGATCAATCCCTGTTCTGGGCGCACACAGGAATCAACCAATGAATGTATAAATAAGTTGAACAATAAATCAGTATCTGTCAGTCTCTCTCTCTCTTACCCTCTAAAAATATTAAAATAAAATTATGTGCTCACTTCGGCAACACATATACTAAAATTAGAACGATACAGAGAAGATTAGTATGGCCCCTGTGCAAGGATGACATGTGAAAATTAAAATAAAATTAATCAATAAAAATAGTTTAAAGAGAAAAACTGAATTTCTGGATTAAGATTTCTTTCTCTAAGTATTCCTTTGCAAAATATTAAACTAAAATTTTATCACATTTCACTGTTTATTCCTTTCTAAAAAATATTAAGTGGGAATTATGTTTAAATCACCAGACTCAAGTAGAAAAACTTCTGCAAATCAAAAATGTCATTTTTATAAGAATCTACAGTATAACTAAAAATGTGTAGAGTTTCCTAAAAGTCAACCAATAACTATTCAAAAAATAAAGTCTATATATATAAAACCCTAAGCAACCGGTCGACCAAACAACCAGATGACCAGCTGGTTGCTATGACACACACTGACCACCAGGGGGTAGATGCTCAATGCAGGAGCTGCCCCCCGGTGGTCAGTGTGCCCACACAGTGGGAGTGCCGCTCAGCTGACTGACAGGCACCAGACGCCAGGCTCACGGCTGGTGAGCGCAGCTGCAGTGGCACTAGCCTCTCCCACCTCTGCTGCAGCGCTACCAAGCAGCAGCAGGCGCAGCGGGGCTGGGATGAATGGGAGCGGTACAACGCCAGGCCCAGGCTCGGGCTAGGGCTCCTCCCTGGCTGCCTGCCGTTTCGCACAGTACTACATCCCCCGAGGGGTCCCAGATTGCGCGAGAGCACAGGCCAGTCTGAGGGACCCCACCAGTGCACAAATACACTCAAATGTTCGCCATAAAAATGCTTGCAAACTAAAGTAGTCTTAATCTCCAAGAAAATACATTTTTAAAATGTACGTGAGCTATTTTTAAAAGAAAAAACTTTGAAAATGGACACATTTGAGCATTCCTTAAAGGACAATTAAGACACATTTTCTTTACAGACTTAAACCAAGACATAAATAAAAGGGAAAAGCTAATATTTATAGATACAGTACTGTGCTAATTTCTCTTTCAAAAAAATTTACATGAAAATATTAACTGATTAATGTTTTGAAAGTTGTATCTTTTTTTTTTTTAAAGGAATCTATGAACTGCAAGTACCGTAGAATATAACCCAATACCTTTTTCTGAAGATGCCCCTTCATTCAGGATTTGGATTGCTCGTCGAATATCCAAGTTGAACAATGCCACAGCAGCAGCTCTCTCCCATTCCCCTTCTTGTACCAGGGAGTTCAAAAATGGCCCTACATCTACATCTGTTCCTTTCTTAATCCACCCACAAAGCTGTAAAGCTAAGATTCTTTCTTCATTCAAATTCTGTATATCAGTTTGCTTATCCAATCCACTCCAATTATGTCTGGTGTTTTCCACCATTCCTAAAACGAGAAACATTTTTATATTAATTGCTTTATTATTTATTATTTTTAGTGAATTTAATGAGGTTACATTGATTAATAAAATTACATAGGTTTAAGGTGTTCAATTCTATAATACATTATCTGCATATTGCACTGTGTGTTCACCACGCCATGTCATGTCTCCTTCCAACACCATTTATACCCCCTTTACACCCTCTTTTGCCTCCCCCGCTCCCATTTCCCTCTGTTAATAACCATATTGTTGTCTATTTATGAGGTTTTTTGTGTTGTTTCTTTAATGTATTTTATTGACTTTTTACAGAGAGGAAGGGAGAAGGATAGAGAGTTAGAAACATCGATGACAGAAAAACATCAACCAGCTGCCTCCTGCACACTCCCTACTGGGTATGTGCCCGCAACCAAGGTACATGCCCTTGACCGGAATCGAACCTGGGACCCTTCAGTCCACAGGCTGACACTCTATCCACTGAGCCAAACCGGTTAGGGTGGTTTTTGTGTTTTTATTCTTCCTTGAAATATATTGTCAGTTTTACAGATAAATATTTCAACATCAGATTTTGAATATTTAATTTCTCAGCCATAATTTGATAGCATAAATATAAAATATGCCACGAAGAAAACATACTTTAAATATTGCTAAGTACAACAGCATCTTGACTTATCAAAAAGAGCTTTTGGAATAACAGTCATTGCTTGATAGTCTAAGCTGAGTCACTGCTTCAGAGAAGCCTCCCTGGTCAACTAATGTAAAATAGGGTGCCATCTGCTATTATCTTACTTACCACTGTTTTCTCTATTTCCTTTAGCACTAACATAAGCTCTCCCCTTTTTTTAAAAAATTCATTTTTTAGTCTCTTTTCTTATTAGAACAATAGCTCCAAAAGAGCAGGCATTTTGTCTGTTTTATTTAAAAGGTATCCCTGGTGCTTGAGTTTCAACAGATGCTCACTATCTATCCCTCCTCCCATGGTTTCTGTCTGTCTCTCTTTCTATGTATATACATATACATATACATATACATATACATATACATATACATATACATATGGAAAAATGAGATCATAAACATCAAAATATTTTGAAAGTTTAAGGTAAGTACTAAAACTAAAATACGATAAGAATGATTTGAAGTCCTCCTTCCCTTTATTTATTTATTTATTTATTAAATATTTTTTATTTATTTTTTACAGAGAGGAAGGGAGAGGGATAGAGAGCCAGAAACATCGATCAGCCCCCTCCTGCACACCCCGCACTGGGGATGTGCCCGCAACCAAGGAATCGAACCTGGGACCCTTTAGTCCGCAGGCAGACGCTTTATCCACTGAGCCAAACCGGTCAGGGCTCTCCTTCCCTTTAAATCAGAAGACTTTATATTCTCATTCTCTTTTCATGAGAAATCTAAATAAACTCTTGTAGCATTATTTACATTGCAATCAAGGTTGTTGATCCTATGATACTTGGTACCAAATAAAGATTAAATAAATGAATAGAAAATTTAAGGACTCTATTAATTGCAACTCAAATTCTTCAATGTTCTAGAAAGTTTTACCACCAAACTTCATGAAGAAGTCCCAAGATGAGTTATTTGTAAGATTTTTAAAATTTAAAAAATAGTTAACTAATACACTTGAAATTACTTATTTTTAACCTTACTATTGGGAACTATTGTCAGTATAGGTCAAGGAGTTAGAGGAAAGAAGACTTCTGAAAAGAGAACTCCTGCCCATTGAAATGAGGAAAGCATTCTGCTCTATTAGCAACCATGATGGAAGTCATTTGAGACAAAAAATCACTTTTAGCTTTAAAAAGTGAAATTTTAAAAACTATGAGAAAACTTTGAATAATTAAATAAAATAAAATAGGTTACTTTTCCAAATTTATATTGTTTAGATAGAATGTAGTCATTAAATTTCAGGTAAAACAAACTGCAGATGTACTAAGGTATTTATTTTCATACTGCCCCTATAAATTTTGGATTAAATGCTGATATTATTTAATAAATAGTAAAATAACAATTTTAAACAGGTGAACAAAAAGCGGCCGTTTATTTTTCAAATGATTTCTCAATTTCTTAGAGTTCTTATTTTACACAACTTTTGTCATGAAATAGAGATCAATATATATGAATCCAAAGAGTTCATTGCTAGAAGGTGGAAAAGTATGTCATGTATTTTGGCTGCTCAAAGATGTTCTTACTGCTCGATAACTATGCTATAAGTAATTAGGAATATCAAATAAGCAATGTGATATTATTGTGGACTTTTAAGAATATAGTCATATTATGATTTTTAACATGTGTGGATTTAATATCCAATAAACAAATATGAACTTATTACTGAAAGAAATAAATTTGTATGTGAACTTTTAAAAAATGAATTTCAAATATATGATTTTAACATCTCACTGAAAAAATTAAAATCTAGTTATGCACGTTACGCAATTCTAAGTGATGAAATTCTATCACCCAAATTTGAGATTGCCATATATATGAATAATAGAATCAACATTTTATTGATGGTTGCAAGAGAAACAAGTTCACTTAAACATTAAAAAACATTTTAAAAAATTTTTCAAGCCCTAGACCAGGGGTGGGCAAACTTTTTGACTCGAGGGCCACAATGGGTTCTTAAACTGGACCGGAGGGCCGGAACAAAAGCATGGATGGAGTGTTTGTGTGAACTAATATAAATTCAAAGTAAACATCATTACATAAAATGGGTACGGTCTTTTTTTTTTTTTTTTTTTTTTTAGTTTTATTCATTTCAAACGGCCGGATCCGGCCCACGGGCCGTAGTTTACCCACGGCTGCCCTAGACAGTTTGGCTCAGTGGATAGAGCATCGGCCTGCAGACGGAGGGGTCCCAGGTTCGATTCCGGCCAAGGCCGCATGCCTGGGTTGCAGGCTCGATCCCCAGTCGGGGCATGCAGGAGGCAGCCAATCAATGATTCTCTCTCATCATTGATGTTTCTATCTCTCTCTCCCTCTTCCTTCCTCTCTGAAATCAATAAAGAAATATATTTAAAAAAAGAAAATTTGTTTCAAATACTACACCAGCAATAAGACACTTTGCTATTTCTAGATATTAATATGTTGCACTTTTACACCTATATAAAAACAAAGAAGTAAAATTATGCAGTATTTTTAAGCACATTTTGTTGTTAAAAACACTAAATCCTAGCTATTTTACCCTTTCAAGTAATTATGAATAGGTAAGTTCTCTAGATCAGTTTTCATCATGTTGGATGAAAAGCTGACCGAAATTTATTACACAATTTTCTATCTTAAAAGGAAGGAATTATACCTATTGAGAACACTGTAAAAACTGCTCTACAAGACTGTACAAGACATTCCCTCGGAAAATGCATTATTGTCATACTTGTTGATTTCAATACTTAGTCCGTCCAATAAACTAGCCTCTTTGATCCTTTGCTTCCTTATCTCCAGTGGTCAACACCTCCAAGACTTTACCCACTTTCATGGACACTCTCCAAATTGTCCTCCAAAAGTGCCAATTTTTTTTTTTATTATCACCCAAGGATATATTTTAATTGATTTGATTTTTAGAAGAGAGGAAAGGGGAGAGAGAAACATCGACTGGTTGCCTCTTGTATGCACCCGGACTGGGGATAAATGGGAGCATGAGTTTCGGGGGGGGGGGGGTAGGTTGGGGTTAATGGGGGGGATGAGGACACATTTGTAATACCTTAATAATAATAATAAAAAAAATATTCAAAACAAAAAAAAAGTGCAACTTAGGTATGTGCCCTGATCAGGAATCAAACCTGTGACCTTCCGGTGCATGGGACAATGCTCCAAACAACTGAGCCAAAAGAGCCATTGTCTAACCACAACCTCAAAGTCTTCTGAAAATCTAATTTCCTATGCTTCAACCTCATACTCTCTTGACCACTCATAGTTTTACAGTCTTTTCCTCCCATTTTCCTCTCTATCCAAGCTAGATTCCAAGGGTCAACAACTGAGTCGTTCTCTTAATTCTCTTGCCACACTGCCCTTTATTCTTTCCTCTGGTAAAACATTTCTCCACAATCTTCCCATGTTTCTCAAGACAACTCTCTCTGCTCTTCTCCCCATCTTCTCTAGACAACCTTCTTGCTCTTTCTCAACAAGCAAACCTACTATATTGAGAAAACAGGAGTCATCAGGTAGCAAAGCCCTCAGCTCTTGTCACTGAACCTTAAACAAACTGCGTACCTTTCCCCTTTCCCTCTGGCTAATATGGAGGTGTACATACTCATATCTAAAGCTTTGGATCTCTTTCTCACCCATTCCTAGGAATTTTGCTCTTTACTTCCTTATCTCCTCATCTTCAACCTCTTTCTTTGGTTTTTTTCCCATCAGCATTTAAACATACTTAAATTAATCCCATGTTCAAAACAAAAACAAAGCAATACAAAAGTCCTCTTTGACCCCCAATTCACCTGCTGCTACTACTACTACTGTATATATTTTTATCCTCCTTCATCTAGTCAAATTTCTTGAATTATGTAAAATGGATGACTTTACTTCTTCAACCTACTCTAAATTTCTTGCCCCCTGGATATCTCCATCTAACTATCTCGATTCAATTTATTCCTAAATAAAATTCTTACTCTTCTCAAATACACTCTTCCTATGTGATTCCTATATAATTAATGAATACCAGTATTAAACCAGTTTCCTAAGCTATGTTATCTTTTCACTTTTCCTTCTCCTCCATCCCCTTTATCCAATTAATCATTAAATTGTGTCCCAATCTCTAATTTATCCACATTTCTCTAGCTCCTCTGCCACTAACCTTGGTAAGAACACCATTATATCTTTCCTGATTACTGTGGCTTCTCTGAGGTCCCTACCATCAATCTTGATCCTCTTCAATTCATTCCTCACAGTGACAGCTATAAAACACAATCTAATTGTCACTATTCTTTAAAATATTTCCTTGGTTTCCCCTTGTTACAGGATAAATCTCCCTAAATTATTACCATGAGTTACCCATTGCTTACTTTTCTAATATCCATTCTTTCTTCACTTTCTCTCACATGCTCTGTTCCAGCAATACCTGCATATGCTATGCTCCTTCGCCTTGGGGCTCAGGCATATGGTGCTCCCTGCCTGGACTTTGTCTCTGCCTTTACCTCCTCCAGGAAACCTTCTCAACACCTACAAACAGATCAGGAATTCTATATATAATTGTCTGTTCTTCTTCATGTTATAACCGCCTGTTTTAGCTATCTTGTTCAGTATCCATAACTGATATCTTGTTCATAATTATGTCTCCAGGTCCTAGAACAATTCTTAGCACATAGTGAACAACTAATAAATATTTGCTGAATGAGTGAATAAATTTACCTCATATTGTAGTAAGAATTAAAGTAACATGGAGAAAGCAATTGGCATGATGTCTAATTCATAGTAAGCACTAAATATATTTGCCACCAAAGTTTAAATATAGCTGTGTTATAATAAATTTGATTAAATTATGGTGGGCAAGATGGCTCAATGTATAGATTATGTGTTAAGTTATTAACACATAATGGTATTTTATTATTAATACAATGGTATTAGAGATACCATTAGAGAATGGAGTATGGCCAGATAAAAGATTGAAACCTAGGAATGCTATCTTTGACAGTCATTTCTCTATTACTTTTGGGTTGTACAAACAAAAACATAGAAGCCAAACCAAACAAAAAGCTGAAGGTCTAGTCTAGCAATGAGGAAATCTTTCCAAAGGTAGTTTTGTTTTTTTAGTTTGGGTAAAGACCACTTGACTTAAATCAAGATACTCAGTTTGTCTCTACTGTACCCAAACCACAGATATTCCGCCTTCCCTCTTGCTTTTCCTCAGAGGTAGTTGGGTGGGTTTTCCCTAAACATATCAAAATATAACAAAAACAATAATAAACCTCAGAATAACTAAGAATGCAATGTGGCCTGATCTACTTTTTAGATAAAATACTAAAAATTTTGTAAACTCCATGTTTAATTCTTTGCAGTAGTTCTAAAATCATGAACCTCGGTATTCAGGTTCATTGACAGGGGTAATACAGTATATCTGTCCTTTTACTTATATTAATAAAAAGTAGAAGTTTTAAATTGAAGTCACTCATTTTATTATTTATAATAAAAATTACTTTTTTGGTGGAGAGCTAATGAGAACACCTAAATGAAATAGGTCAAAAAAGTAGTCCACTGCATCTTTATCAATGTGAACTAAAGCAATTTTTTTGAGCGTTTTAATCCTCATCCAAGGACATGCTGAGAGGGAGGGAGGGAGGGAAGGAGGATGGGAAGGAGGGTGGGAAGGAGGGAGGAAGAGAAAGGGACATCAATGTGAGAGGAAACGGCAATTGGTTGCCTTCCATACGCTCCTCAACCAGGGATCAAACCCACAACCCAGGCTTGTGGCCTGTCCAGCAATCTAACCTTCCTGGCAACCTCTCAGCACACGTGACAATGCTCAATCACCTGAGCCACTCCAGCTGGACTGAACTAAAGTTGACAGTCCTTTTAAAAATTATAACAGTTTAATCAAAATACTTAATCTACTCTTAAAAATAGCACTTTACTTAGTATTATTTTTATACTATTGAAAGTCATATTAAAATCCAAGTTGGATTTATTACTTCTGCTAACACTCTGACTAAATTATGTGAACTTTTCTAGCAGCTTGAATTAGGCCCAAATGTGATTGCTAACAAAAGCTAGATATGGAATCCTCATTTGGGGAGATGATTGTAGTATAACCTACCATTTAATTTCAATAAAAACATTAAAGAAGTCAGTAGAAAAAAATAGTAAGTTTGGCTCTTTTGTCTTCTTTACTTCATTCTTCAATAGTCTATCAATTTCAATCCTATAGTAATTCACACATTCAATCAGCAAGGACTATTTCAGGTAAGGGTCCTTTAAGTAAGGCCATACTTGGTGTCAATTACATACAGACCTTGCCATTAGATAGCTAAGTGAAAGTAAGCAGCAAAATAAAAAGGGGGCTTCTTCAATGAGAAATTTAGTTTTTATAAATGCAAAGTAGTATAATAAAATTCTAACAACCAGGATCCTATAAATCATCTAATGTAATACCTCTAAAAATGGGTCTTCATAAAAAACAATTATGTATTTAAGTCAACAATTTACAAAAATATCTATTCAAAACCCAAAAGAGAAAAAAAAGTATTTATGTATACTATCCTGAAATACATAAATAGGGAAATATAAAAGCACAAAAATTATGAACATATTGCAGAAAATAGAATTTTCTTACCTAAAGATGATTTTACAATTGATTTAATTCCTGCATAAACCAATGATCCTTTGTTGCCTGGAGATTTCTGGTCCATATCTTCTGTATACTGCTTCATGAGTATTTAAATGCATAGGAAATACTAGTAATAATACATAATAAAATATCTCAAAGCTAAATTTACTTTGATTTGAAGCCAATTCATAATAGGCGTCAGTGCAAGCAAGGTGGTTCTACTCTATTATGGATTTATACTTTCTTCCTCCTACACAATCTGCAAAGCAGTATTTCAAGTTCTACAGTTTTAAACAATTTTAGTTTGTAATTTTAGCACTATATAACTTGTATTTGCATATAAAACATTCAGTATATTTATAGACCTTTTAATAAACTTCAACATTTCTACCTGATTCATCTCAAAATTCATAACACAAAGGATATAGTGCAGAGTATACCAGAGTGACTTGAGCTGTGGATCTTCATTTCCAGCTAAAATATGGTTTCTCCACACTTGTTCTGTATCAAGTCCGTACCTTGATAAAGCCCGAAGGCGCATCTTCGTTGCTATATCTTTTTCTAAAGAATTAGCATTTTCTTCTTCTGTACATTCATACAAATGACGACCACAAGCCCACATTAAAGATGTAATTGGGCTCCAGGCAAGAGATATCCTTTCAAAAACAGTGAAGTCAGACATTGTTCGGTTGGGAGTTACAACTATCATTCGATTTTGACTTGTTGGATGCCAAGCAAAGGAAGCAATGTAATTGTCACAAGGTTGCACACTTCTTTCAATTATTGTGGGTTCAGTTTCATCCCCAATGGGAGTGGGTGTGTGTTGCATATCATATAATCTAATAATATTACTATCCCTTGTTAAAGTGGCAAGCAGACCAGTCCTAGTTGGACACCATGCAACTTTTGTTAAGGGTTTTGGCTGTTCAGTCAGAGTCAAAACTGGCTTCTCAAATTTCCTAAGATCCCATATTGCAACCTGACCTTCATAGAAGGAAGCAACACGATCATGGAAGTATGGGTCTACTGTCACCCCCTGAACAGCTTTTGTATTTACAAACATCTTTTGGCTTGTATTCCGAAGATCAAATATGGCTAGGTTACGATGCATACCAGCAAGGAGAAGTTTCTGGTCCCGTGGAAGCCAACAAAGAGAGAGACAAGCATCATTCTGTCCTAATTCATAAAGTGGTTTTGTTACTAATAATGTTGTTTCAGTTTCACCTGCTGAAAGTCTCACTTTCTCCATGGGGACTATATCAGGAGTATATTTGCTGCAGATATCCCAAATCAGCACTGAAAAATCAGCTCTATGTTTATCTAGACCAGCAGCAAGCCAGTTACTATCCAATGGATTCCATGCAAGAGTATTGCATTGTCGTGCATGTTTAGGAACAAATTCTTTTCCTATCAAATCTCTGAACTTTGAGTTGTGATCTTGACCAAGACTTGTAAGTACAACTCGACCATTTGCTTGTCCAACTGCTAGGAGACATTCAGGATCATAACTGAGATACCAAGCAACACATTTCATATAGGGTGTATCTGAATTTATTGATAGCAAAGTAGCCGCAGAGTCTTCAGATAAACGTAAAGATCCAGCTTTGAGTTCCGAATTCACAGTAGATTCCACATGATAAAGGCTCAGTTCTGAGTCACATACAACAAATCTATCAACCTGGTGTGGTGCCCACAATATATCAGGTTTGGTACCGCTCATGTTTATTGATGTGCTCAAAGTGTCCAGTCAGGTCCATTCACTGAATATCTGTTTAAAAATGAAAAGTTTAAAATGTTAACAAAATATAATTCTAAGTTGAAAAAACTATTCAGAAAGTCAGGAAATACAGGTACTCTGTTTTTCAATGGATATATATTTCTTCTATCTGCTATGAATCCAAGATAATATTTAATGATAACAAGTGGGGGGAACTTCCTCCAGTAAGATGACTGGTAAAAATCTGAGCACTCCATTCTGGCTTTATTTCCCCCAAGATCAATTATCTTAATTTCACTGTTACTAGTACCTTCAATTTAACCTCAGGGTTAAAATAACTTCAGTGTGGTGAGAAAATTAATACGTATCATCTAGTTGAAGGGGGTCACATTTTAAGGAGTTATAAATCATGTTTAGATCAGTACTATCCATTTGTACTTTCTGCAATGATAGAAATGTTCTAAGTCTGCACTGTCCAATATGGTAGCTACTAGCTACATGTGAGCCACTGAGCCTAAGAAATATGACTAGTAAAAATTTTAAATTTTATTTAATTTTAATTAATCTATATATATAAAAGCCTAAGCAACCAGTTGACCGGCCAGTAACTATGACGTGCACTGACCACTATGGGGCAGACGCTCAACGCAGGAGCAGAAACCATAGGCATGGAAACATGGAACAGACTGATGAATCTCAGAGGGGAAGGGGGAGAGGGGAGGGCAGGGAGAGATTAAACAAAGATCTTATAAATTATGTATACTAAAGGCTGAGTGCACCGATTCGTGCACCAGTGGGGTCCCTAGGCCTGGCCTGCGAGGATCGGGCCAAAACTGGCTCTCTAATGTTCCCCAAGGGATCCCAGATTGTGAGAGGGCACAAGCCAGACCGAGGGACCCCACCGGTGCACAAATCAGTGCACCAGGCCTCTGGTTTTAATATAAATGGCCACCACAATGCAGATTTAAAGTGCAATGCCACTAGTAACACACAGGTCTCTTCCTCAACTTTCAACAAGAAGCAGCTCTACTGCAGGAACACTGGAATGTATTGAATAGAACTGAGTTCTATTCCTAGCGCTAACATATGTATATTAGCTATAAGCCTTAGAAAGGCCTTTGTGTTTGGGTCCTTTACAATATACACGTATACAATATAAGAGTTGGTTTAGATTAGGGTTTCTCAAACTTCAGTCATTCATGTACCACCTGTGTGGTTATTTAATAGTTTTCTTTAAATTGGCACATTTTAAAATCTGAAAATTTATTTTAACCTCATCATAAGGTTCATGAATTATAGGTATGATATTGCTAAGTATATTTTTCCTAACATACATTAAAATAAACATATAACTATTCAAAATACTTGACTGGCCCTAGCAAGTGTTGCTCAATGGTTTGGGCATCATCTGTGCACCAGCAATTGCGGGTTCAATTCTTGGTCACGGGCACATGTCCGGGTTGTGGCTCAATTCTTGACAGAGGGCATGCAGGAGGCAGCCAATCAATGTTGTGCTCTCACACCAATGTTTCTTTCTTTCTTTCTCTCTTCTCTCTCCTCTCTCTCTCTTCCTCCCTCCCTCCTCCTCTAAAATTCAATAAACTATTCTCTTTTTATCTTTTAATATATTTTTATTGATTTCAGAGAGAAAGGAAGAGGTAGAGATAGAAACATCAATGATGACAGAGAATCATTGATCAGCTGCCTCCTGCAGGCCCGCTCCTGGGGACCGAGCCCGCAACCCAGGCATGTGCCCTTGACCGGAATCGAACCCGGGGCCCTTCAGTCCACAGGCTGACGCTCTGTCCACTGAGCCAACTGGCTAGGACTAAACTATTCTTAAAATATTAAAAAATACTTGACTATGTTTTACCTAAAATCATCCTGTTTATGACCAGTAGTACACAAACTGCACTTTGGGAAACTGAATTAAGTAATCACTAGAGGTATTTTCAGTTTTCATTTCTATAAACTTTATCAAAATGAGATTTTTAAAAAGATATTCTAGTATCTTAAGCACAAACTAAAAATAGCTATGTTAAAATAATAGTTTAGTAATAAAAGCTACTTAAAAAAATATAAATGTCTGTTTCTAACCAAATCTGGCTAGAGCAAATTATAGTCTGGATTAAAAATGAAGAAAGATACTTACAATCTTCATGACAATTGGTATCTTTACATTCATGTCAGTTCTTAAAGGGTGAAGCTATGGTTCATTCATATCTCTACATATAGAGCCTGGCACAGACTCCTAATAAAGATATACTAAATAAATTCAACTCAAACATACTTGCTTTACTTTTTGATCTTGTAAAAGTTTCAGTCAGAAATTGTCAGTCTAGAATTTCAATAGACTCAAAATTTAGATGACTGGGAAAAAAACTTTTGAGAATTTGTATGTTGGCTTATTTCCTTCCTTAACAGATTTGAAGCCCAAGATCAATCATTTCAATTACATTCCTGTCGGCATCCTCTATTTCTTCACTTCTGTGCCAGTTTGAGTTTGCCTTCAACCCTAGACCAATCCAATTATTACTGTCCTCTTTCCTCCACTCAGCTGCTGAGTGCCAAAGTTCTGCAGACTGACCCCATAAGAAATTAAAGTATACAACAATGTCTAACTTGTGGTGTTGGTTCAACAATTGTTTTATTCACCTTTCTTCTCTGGCTTTCATGAAATTCATCTTCATACAGTATCACAGTGATCTTTTAAAAATACAAACCTAAGCAGGTTATCCAACCCCTGCTTAAAACCCTATAATGGTTTCTAAATGCTTTTATTAGAACTCCAAATATTCAATATAATTTTTAAAACCCCACATGCTTTGACCTCTATCTATTGCTCCGGCCTCAATGTACACCATTCTCTTTGAATGTTCTAGCTAAATGGTCTTTCTAGAATGTAAACAGCCCCTCATCCAAATATACATACATATATATATATATTATTGATTTCAGAGAGGGAGAGGGAGAGAGAGAGAAACATCAATGATGAGAGAGAATCACGGATCCGCTGCCTCCTACACACCTCCTACTGGGGATCAAGCCTGCAACCCGGGCATGTGCCCTGATCGGGAATTGAACAGTGACCTCAACCACTGAGCCACACCGGCCAGGTAAGCCCCTCCATTCTTCCTTCCCTTCTTGGCCAAATTAACACTTGCTCAAGCTTGACATCAACCATCTGCTGTCCCTCCACAGCCTACATCAGGTTTCTTAGATACTTTCATTGAACAGTATTCCATCCCTTTATATCACCCCCTTTGCCTCTTCTACTAGATTATAAACTCCACTAGAGGCCCGGTGCAGGGGATTCGTGCATTGATGGGGGGCATGGCCTGTGGGGATCGGACCCCTGTAGGAGCACACTGACCACCAGGGGGCAGCTCCTGCGTTGAGCGTCTGTCCCCCGGTTGTCAGTGCACATCATAGTGACTGGTTGACCAGTTGTTCTGGTAGTTCCACCACTCGGTTGCTGGGCTTTTATTATATAGGATAAGAGCAGGTAAAATATCTTCTGCTCTCCATTTGTACCTCTAGTACCCAACACAGAACTAGGCCCTTACTAGATACTTAATTACTTGTTAAATGAATGTACTTGTTAAATGCTCCCTCTGATACTTATCACTGCCATCTCCAAGTTTTACCAATCTCCTCATCTTTCCACCCATTAGCCTTCTGAGAAGCTGGCTCCAGCCAAGAGCAAAGTGTCCACTTTTATAACTGTTCCAATGATGGGCAGGAGCCCACAAATAGCCACTTAAAGAGAGGATCACTCTAATACACTGTCTTTCATTTATGTTGTAAATATTTATTAGGCAATTTCTATGTTCTACACACTGTTCTAAATGCTATGAACACATTACTGAACAGGGACAGATAAGGTGTCTGGCTGCTATAGACTGGATTGTGTCTCCCCAATATTCACATGCTGAAGCCCTAACCCCCTCCCCCCCATGTGACTGTACAGGAGACAGAGCCTTGAAAGAGGTGATTAAGATTAAATTAGGTCATAAAGGTAGAGCCCTGGTCTAATTGGTGCTCTTATATGAGAAAGAGATACCAAAACTCTCTCCCCACCATGTGAGGACACAGCAAGAAGGCAGCTTTCTGCAAGTCAAGAAGAGAGTTCTAACCTGAACTGGATCACACTGGCACCCTGATCTCAGATTTCCAGTCTCCAAAACTGTGAAAAAAGTTATTTCTGTTGTTTAAGCCATTCAGTCTACGGTATTTTGTTATGGCAGCCCAAGCAGACTGCATTGGAATGAGAAGGAAGAGAAGCACCTCATGTAATAAATAGTAACTAAGACAACAAAAAGAAGGAACAGATACTGTCAAGAAATGGCTCATACTCATGCCTTAACAGAGGAAACCTCTAAATTGGAGGTAGCCTGAGATCTGACCCATCTTCCTATCTCACTAAAAAACAATTGCTTAAATAAAAATATTTTTATCCATACCTCCGTCTCACAACCATACCCTTTATATCAGGTGTGGGGACTGTCCAGCCTGTGGGCTGTATAAGGCCCCAGGAATCATTTGGGCTGGCCCTGCCAAGGCATTAAAGGTGAGCTAATTAAATGTTTGACCAAATACAGCAGGCTAATTTTTAAGTAGATTAATTGTGCAACCTGAGAATGATGTTATAAATATCCACATATCCTTGGCAAAAAAAAGGTTCCCCACCGCTGCTTTACATGAATGATAAATGGTAAGAAAACTTAACGCCACACGGAAAAATCCATCCTAAACAACAAATAGAAAGTATTACTATATTTTAAAAACTATTTGATTTACACGGCACTCAATGGAGAATCATCAGAATTTCTATAATGTTATGCATGTAAAATACAGTATCATCCACAGAATCTGATTACAGTAACTCACACAGAATCAAAGAACTTGAGAGAGACTAGCAAACCCTTCTCATTTCAGACAGAAGTGAAAACCAGATGTTCTGGTTCTTGTCCAACACCTCCCAACTCCCATTCTAGATTACTGCATAGAGAAAAAAATCAGCTACATCATTTGCAGAGCCCGACCCAAATTGAAAATACAGCTGCCACCCCCCTCCCTTGTTAAAAAATTAAGGTGACAGCCCTTCTAAATGATGGGCTTTATGTGACTCACTGGTTGCAAACCATAAAACTGGCCCTGAGCAGAGAAGTACATCTATAAGCACCCTCTTAAAAAATGTCTTTCTTTATAATCCAATACACAATATATATGGAATCTGGCTCATGAGCATAAATATGGCTCATATTCATAGCAATATGGTGAAGAACAAAGAAAACTGAACCTGAGGTCAGAAGACCTCCAGCCCACTCAACTAGCTAGACCACTGATGGCGAACCTATGACACACGTGTCAGAGGTGACACGCGAACTCATTTTTTTGGTTGATTTTTCTTTGTTAAATGGCATTTAAATATATAAAATAAATATCAAAAATATAAGTCTTTGTTTTACTATGGTTGCAAATATCAAAAAATTTCTATATGCGACACGGCACTAGAGTTAAGTTAGGGTTTTTCAAAATGCTGACACGCCGAGCTCAAAAGGTTCGCCATCGCTGAGCTAGACCCTAACAAGTCCTTTAATACCCCAAGACTATCAAACGGAGACAGAAGCTAGCCTGTCTCCATCTCACAAAGTTGTGACAATCAAACTGACTTCTTCACATCACACAGACGACGTATCACTATGAGTCCCTTACACATCCCTAGAATTTAATGTTTTTGAAGTGTCGGAGACATTGAAAAATTGGGGGCACAAGGGGTGGTGGAATCTGCAATAATTACAGCTGATAGATCCTCACCTTCCAGTTTAACAAGTCAAGTGCTCACTTCCCACCGGGGTGTCTGAGCAAAGGAAAGCCATGTCGCTTCTGTGTCCCTCAGCAGAAAACTGATAGCAGGATTGTCCAACAGAAACATAGTGTGAATCACAGTTTTCTAGGAGCCACACTGAAAAATAAAAATAGATGAAATGAAATTTAATAATGTTTAAGTATTATCCTTTTCAATGTGTAATCAACGTACACATTACTGAGACTTTTTTTGTTTGGGTACCAGCTTGGAAAGCCAATGTGTATTTTACACTAAGAGCCTTATTTCAACCGCACGTGGCTACTGGACTGTGGTCTGTAATGCTAAGCGTACAAGGCAACCAATCACGCTTTCACATGCATTTTTTTGTCGTTTTCTACTTTTCTGGCTATGACCAAAAAAACAACAGTAGCAGTTTCAATAAATTCCAACCACCACCGTCCTAGGGCCTATAGGCACTGTATCTATATGCAAATTACCCTTCAAGTTAGGCAAAAGGCCATCATTTGCTAGGCCAATTCGGTGTAATTTGCCCTCCTGTGGAATTTTCACGACTCCTACACGCAGAGAACAGAGCTGACCGGTGACAGACGACAACCAGCGCAGGGCTTGTCGCGATTCCGGGGAGACAGGGAGTCGGAGGGCGGCTCCCACGCTCCGGCACCTGGCGGATCCTCGGGTCCTTGGCGAGGACGCAGTTCCGCACAAACCCGCCGCCACCGAGGCTGCAGCGCGGCCCCAGCGCCGGGAAGTCCCCGCGGGAGCTCGGGCGGGCCGGCACCCCGAGGCGCCCTACGAAGCCCCGCGCGGTTCCCGCAGCACGAACCCCACTCGCAGCGCCCGGGCCCCGAGGAGGCCCCCGGTCCGCCCCCGCCAGACCTTTCCACGGCGCCCCTGATCCCTCGACTCTGGCCTTCCTTTCGGGAGAACGAGACCCAGCCGGGCCGCACTCACAGACTTAGGAGAACGCGCGGGCGCCGCACAGCCGCCTCCAGCCTGGTGGCCGCGCTCCCGCCGCGGGAGTCACCCCCGACGCGGGCAAGATGGCGGCGCGGCCAGTAACGTGGGCCCACCCGGCCGGGACCCACGACCCCACAGCCGCGCCTCCGCGACGACGGAGGCCACGCCTCGGGCTCGGAAGGGGAGTTCCCACCCCACGAGCTCCGCCCCTTCACGAGCCCGGGAATTGCCCGCCCCGGAGCAGGGAGAGAGGAAGTTCTCGGGAGACCTCGCCCCCAGTTTACTAGTCTGCTCCTGCAGGCCCCGCCCCCAGCACATTGGTCCGCTCTTGGAGGCCCCGCCCCCAGCGTACTATTCCGCTCCTGTTGGCCCCGCCCCCAGCACATTGGTCCGCTCCTGCAGGCCCCGCCTTCAGCGCCCGGATTCGTTCCTGCTGGCCCCGCCCCAAGCTCTGGGGCGGGATCCTGGCCAGGGACCTGGGCAGCTTCTCAGAATCACGGTTATTGTTTTAAGCACTTCATATGCTTTAGTTCATTTGGTATGTTAAAATTTTCATTAAAAATTTAAGTCGATCGATGTATGAGAAAGGCCCAAGTATTTTGTTCACGATTTATTCACTCATTTTCTCATTCCACAACCAAATCTTGGCTGCCTATGGTGTAGCTGGCACCAATGCTGGGGACACCAGAATGAACCTAAAGACATGGTCTCACAGGAAGCAGGCAGAGTGGTGCCTCTTTGGGGCTAAAACAGTATTCCACGGAAGGGGCGCCCCCTTAATTTTGGGGAGTTAGGAACGTTTCTTTGAGGCCCACTCGGTTGAGAAATGAAGGATGAGTATGGGAATAGCCAGGAAAGGGAACAGGATTGGGTTTGGAAGAGAAGAGTCTTCTTGGGTGGAGGAAGAGCAAGTGTAAGGTCAGGGGGAGGGCAAAGCCATGGGGTAGCAGTGCAGTATGGATGTGTGAGTAGAGGAGTGGGGAGAGATTAAGATGCTGTATCAGAAAGGCATTTGGAAACCAGGTCAGTGAATTTGGATGGACTTTTTCCTAAAAGCATTAGTGAAGTCATTTCATTGAAGGTTTCTAACCAGGCCAGTGGTGTGATCAGTTTGGGGGAGAAAAGGGAGAGGGACAGGGTTAGTATCCCAATGAGAGATGATGGTAACCCAACCTACCAGTCGTGTGGAGAGTGGGGATAGAGAGAATTGTGTGACCTGAGGAATGTTTACAAAGTGGGATGATTGACTGAGTGAGTGAGAAAGAGGTTTCTAGATTTCTGGCTCCCCCATTACAGCAAATGGTGCTGCACCAGTGTGACAAATCTGACACAGGCTTTCTTCAGCTTTCTGGCAATCTTTGCTTGTCTATTCATGCTTAAAAATGGATGGTGTCAGGCTACTGGTGATTGATGTAAAAGAGCTTAGTTCTGATGACCTTCAAGGCAGAACATTCTGTGGAGTATGTGACTGGCTAGATCCCTTTACTTCCACATGTAAAAATCAGTCTTTACCTGAGAGCAAGTTTTGCTCTTAGGCATCAAGAGGAAATTGTGGTCCTGTAAACATTTGACATGGCTTAGGTAATCTTTTTACAAAGGTTGAAGATGAGATTTGAGATATTTAATAGACATATATTTTTTAATATATATAACTTTTTATTGATTGATTTTTTTTTTTTTAGAGAACGAGAGAGAGAAACACTAATTTATGCATTTATTGGTTGTTTCTTGTATTTGCCCTGACCAGAGATTGAATCCGCAACCTTGATATATCAGGATGTTGCTCTAACCAACTGAACTACCTGACCAGGGGCAAGATCTGAGATGTTTTAAAATAGTGTTTTCCAAAAGTATTCTAGCATACTCCCAAATTATATAAGTCAATGCACTTATTCATGTATTTGGGGGATTACATCTAATATTGTCATAAGAAACTTACATAGCTGCCAAGGTTATGATTTTTAATACATTTTTTATTGTTGACACAATTAGTGATGTCTCCTATATCTCCCCACTTTTTCTTCCTTCTCTCTGCCTGTGCCCTGCCCAGGCCTTCACCTCATTATTGTCTGTGTCAATGGCTATGCATATATGCACATATATTCTGGTTTTTTTGGTATCCTCACTCGAGGATATTTTTTTCTCCATTGATTTTTAGAGAGAGTGAAAGGGAGTGAGGAGAGAGAGAAACATTAATGTGAGAGAGACACATCTATTGGTTGCCTCCCACATGTGCCCTCACCAGGGATCAAACCTGCAACCAAGGTACATGCCCTTGACTGGGAATCCTGGGAATCGAACCTGCCACCCTTCGGTGCCTGGGCTGGTGCTCTGTCTACTGAGCAACACTGGCTAGGGCTGCATTCATATTCTTTGACCGATCTCTCCCCCTCCTCCCCACCTTCCTCTGTTGCATCCAACAAAACTTAAATACTTTAATGATGGTTTCTCACTATTTTCATTTTTAAATTTTGTGAGTAAGCTATTCTTTAGTTACAGGGAATCCTATATTATTCTATTTTTTTTTCTTCTTGAACTTTTATTTCCACCATACTTACTCCCACTGGATTATTTGTTTGTTTGATAACAAACAACTATAGAGCATATACTATGTGCCAGATACTTTACAAGATAGGTTCACTTAACACTCCAAGGTTGGGTGCCCTGAGAACCATATTCTAAGATGGATATTAGGATTAGGATACTTATTAAGGAATGTTCTTGGGATCAACCCCTGCAGAAGGTGGGAGAAAGATGCAGGATTGGATGGAGAAGCTGAGCTGTGATTCAATGTCAACAAAGGCCTCAGCCAATTCATGGGAAACTTTAGAACTGGACTGGCCCTTCAGAGGTGTCTTGAGTTGGGACAAGGATTCCAGGCCTTTACACTACCCACTGATGTGGATGTGCCATTGATGTGAGCTGTCCTGGAAGGAAGTGGGACTTTGAATGAGTCCACTTTCTCAGGCAAGGCAATCCCTAAAGAAAGCTGACAAATGTTGGTCCATTTTTACTGAACAGGTAGAGTTAATGTGTTAAAAGTTCTATGCCACTAATCGGTTTGGCTCAGTGGATGGAGTGTTGGCCTGAGGACTGAAGGATCCCAGGTTCGGTTCCGGTCGGTGACACATGCCTGGGTTGCGCGCTTGGTCCCTAGCGGGGGGCTGGAGGGGGGGGGGGGGCGTGCAGGAGGCAGCCGATCGATGATTCTCTCTCATCATTGATGATTCTATCTCTCTCCCTCTCCCTCTCCCTCCCCCTCTGAAATCAATAAAAATATATATTTAAAAAAGTTCTATGCACGTGTGACCTCATCTTCACGATACCTACTATTCAGAATGCAAGGATTGGAGGTAGCGAGGGTCACCCCTTGCAACTGGAAGACTGGTGAGAAAGCCCAAAGTCTATATATGGATGAAAGCACCAGTAAGCATGGTTGGGGTTGCAGGTCCAAGTCACACTCATCTTTACTGTTAAAAAGTGCTGGTATTTTTGTCTCCATGTCTTTAACTGCTGTGTATACCTGTTCAGTAAAAATGGACCAATGGGTGTTAGACTATCACCCCCATCATTCAGGAGAAATCAAACTCCTCCTCCTGCGGGGATAAGTGAATAAGGGGAGGATTAAGTACCAAAAATTATACACTAGCGGAAGTGTCATATACACTAGCAGGGCATCATATTTGTTAAAGAAAATGGAAATGTCAATCAGCATTCCTGTTGGAACTACAATCATTCATCAGTTGCAATTATAGGTTTACTGAGGATACAAGAATTTGGCAAATATCTATGAAAGTGTTCTGTGAGAATCAATAGAGGATAATGTATATTTTGTTATTATTTGTATACTACATACCCCTTTCTATCAGTAGCATTTATAATAAACTTATGGACACATATACACACACACTTTTTTTTTTTCCAGAGAGCCAATTGTTAAATATTTTTCAGAAAACCACTGGGTACTGTCCTTCTTCATTTCCTTCCCTTTTCTAAGCCAATTAACTGCTTCCTAAGTATTTCTCAAAATTATTCACTTCTTTCCAATCCCACTGCTGGTCTTGAGAGCGTTATTGGATCGCATTGGCATTTTAGTAAGGTTCCTGGTAGGTCTCTCAGTCTCTAGGCTTGCTTTCCTGGAATTAATTCTTCACAAAGTCACCAGAGTGAGTTTTCTAATATGAAAATGTAATCATGTCACGCCTCTGCTTAAAATTGTTTCATGCTTCCTCATTGCCTTCAAGATAAGTTCCAAGCCTTTTAACATGGCATAAACTTAGTTACTCTCTGGTGCCTGCACTTCCAACCTCCGTGGCACAGTATGGGCTGGTGCCCTCTCTGCAGGTCTTATTTATAGGTAGTATCACACTGCACTGCCATTGCCTTTTTTGTCTAACACTTTATTATTAAAATTTTCAAACATACAGAAAAGTTGACAGCAAATTCCAACACCTTGATTCTGCAATTAACATTGGACATATAATTGACATATCTTCCCTACCATATATTTATTCATGTACCCATCTTGCTACCCATCTTCTTTTATGATGCATTGCAAAGTAAGTTGCAGACACCAGTACAATTGGCTCCCAAACACTTCAGCATGGTACCATCAACTAGATTTTGATATTTGATTACCTAAAAAAAAAATTTTGGGGTAAAATTTGCCATTACCTTTTACTTGCCTATCTCCTCCACTGGGTTGAAGAGACTGGATCTTATTTTATTTGTTTTCTACCCAATGCCTTTCCATAGTAGAAACTAAATTAATGTTTATTAAATGAATGATTTTCAGATTACATCAGATGTTACTTCACTTCTTGATTCATATATAAAAGTAGTTTTGTCACTCCTTTGATTTATCTCATTATTTCCCTACCTGAGAATTTGCAGAAAGCAACTTACACTCTACCTGTTCAGAGGCAATTAAAAATTTTAATCTGTCAGTGATCATAGACAAGACACCATGTCTTTCTACAAAGTCCCACAAGGTGGTGCCCAAATATCTTTTTTCAAACAATAGTTCCAGACTACCCAATGTCAGTTCTCACTGATTTGTTATATCTGGCATTTCTGAATTTGATCACTTAGTATAATAGAAAATATATACTTAAATAAATGTTATGTATATTAAGTAAAATTATACATGTGTAATTTCAAAATCTATAGTTCTGGATATAAACAATGAACCATGATTCTAATAGTACCTTATATTAGGGT